AGACGGGGTTTCACCATGTTGACCAGGATGGTCTCGATCTCTTGACCTCGTGATCCACCCGCCTCGGCCTCCCAAAGTGCTGGGATTACAGGCTTGAGCCACCGCGCCCGGCCTTAATTTTTTTATATAAACATGCTAATCTTCTCTATATTGTTCCAATTTTAGTATATGTGCTGCCGAAGTGAGCACAAGACTGATTTTAAAGCTAGCATCTTTACAATATGCTTTATGAGTGTGTGTGATGTCCATATCACACATAGCCCTTCATATTATGGTCAAGATCTCTGCATCCAGAATGTGCTCCTGTATCCACGAAATATTACTCTTAGAACTTATAACTTCAGGCAGGCACGGTGACTCACGCCTGTAATCCCAGCACTTTGAGAGGCCAAACGGGACGATTGCATGCCTCGAGGAGTTGGAGATCAACCTGGTCAACACAGTGAGACCTTGCCTCTACAAAAAATCAAAAAATTAGCCTGGCGTGGTGGTGATTCCTGTTGTTCCAGGTACTCCTGAGGCTGAGGTGGGAGGATCACTTGAGGCTGGGAGGTGGAGACTGCAGTGAGAAAGGCAGAGTGAGACCCTGTATCAGAAACATACAAACGTTACTATTTATGTGAAGTCTTCTCAGGCTTCCTGAGGCAGAATTACCCCTTTTCACAGTCCTTTATCTTTTCCTCTGTTATTCATAGTTTTCTACTAAACCATGAGTTCTTGGAAAATAAACAGTATCTTCTAGGTATCCCTCCCTAACACACACACATAGACACACATATATACACAGTATATATCCACACTATAGAATTGCCAGTTGAATGACAGAATGACAAAATAGTGTGTCCAACTTGCTAGATTAAGGAGCTTTCAAGAAAACTAGGTATTCTTCCAGGGACTTTAAAGTCTACTCTCCACACCATCTCATTTCATCTCTGGCATTTAAAACAAAAACAAAACTTTTGGCCAGGTCCTATGGCTCATGCCTATAATCCCAACACTGGGAGGCCAAGGAAGGAGGATTGCTTGAGCCCAGGAATTTGAGACCAGCCTGGGCAACATAGCAAAACCCTGTCTCTACAAAAAATTTAAAAGATTAGTTCGGGCCCACCCAGGGATGCCTTCAGTTGTGTTTAACCTATTTCTTTTGCCAGGTGCAGTGGCTCATGCCTGTAATTCCAACACTTTTGAGAGGCCGAGGTGGGTGGATCACTTCAGGCTGGGAGTTTGAGACTAGCCTGGGCAACATGGTGAAACCCCATCTCTACTAAAAATACAAAAATTAGCTGGATGTGATGCCGCACCCCTGTAATCCTGGCTACTCAGGAGGCTGAGGCAGGAGAATTGCATGAACCCAGGAGGCAGAGGTTGCAGTGAACCAAGATCCACTGCACTCCAGCTGAGCGACAGAGTGAGTGAGACTTTGTCTCAAAAAAACAACAAAAAATTAGCCAGGTGTGGTAGCGTGAGCCTCTTGTCCCAGCTACCCAGGAGGCTGAGGTGGGAAGATTGCTTGAGTCCAAAAGGTCAAGGCTGAAGTGAGCAGTGATCATGCCACTGACTGCACTCCAGCCTAGACAACAGAGCAAGAGTTTGTCTCAAAAACAGAAAAACAAAATATTCTTCAAATGACCTGCTGATTGATGTATGAAATTTCTTGAGGATGAAACAAAACTTTTTGTTACACATTCATAGGTAATGATTAATTAAGTGGCTGGAGATGCTATATTGGACTTGCCCCCAAACACTAGAAGGAAGCAATATCCCCTGTCAATGTATAGGACATGAACTATTCCATTGCTTTAGGAGATTCCCAGTGTGTTTCAGATAACATGCTAAAATGCTAGATTGTCATTGAATTTAGCCTTTAAAAGCAATAAGTCTCTGCAGCAAAAACGAGAGCACTTGTAAACGGCCAAAAATGAAGCCCATTTGAGAGTTAAATTGGAATCACTTTTACCTAGAACAAGATGCATATACCTAAGCCGAGGAAGTCATGGTGTTAATCTGCTGGATGCATTCTACAAATGCAGAAGGAGGTTCCCTGTGTTCAAATTTTTAAAGAATTAATAGGATATGTATGCCAGTTGGCAATCTAGAATAAACAGTGTGGAAGAAACAGCCAGAAGAACCCTTTTTTGTTTTGCTCTGTCATCCAGGCTGGAGTGCAGTGGCAGGATTTCAGCTCACTGCAACCTCTACCTCCTGGGTTCAAGTGATTCTCTTGCCTTAGCCTCCTGAGTAGCTTGAACTACAGGCCTGTGCCAGCACACCCAGCTAATTTTTGTATTTTTAGTAGAGACGGGGTTTCGCCAAACTAGCCAGGCTGGTCTCAAACTCCTGACTTTGTGATCTGCCTGCCTCAGCCTCCCTAAGTGCTGGGATTACAGGTATGAGCCACCATGGCCGGCCAAGAACCCATTTTTTTATACAAGGTATACATGTGACCTGCTTCTACAACCATGTTAAACAGCCTATAACATATCTGGACCTATTTGCAGAACACTCTCAGTAGGAATTAACCATTTTGTTAGAGAGTTAGCTTGTGATTTTATGTGAAGTGACCAACTGCCCATGCAATGAACATTCTCTGTCATTTCCCTTGGTTATAAGGAAGCTTCACTTTACTCAAAAAATAAAAGCCCTATCAACTCTGAAAAGTCAGATTTTACTTCAGCAACAAAGTCTAATACTGTAGTCAGTTCTGCTTACTCATGAGGTTGTCAATAGTCTGCTTTTAGATACAGTTTTTTAAAACCTAGCCCAAAAAAGAATTCAGACAAAGCTGATCACATGCCTGTAGTCCCAGCTACTCAGAAGGCTGAGGGAGATTCCTTTGATCTCAGTAGTTCAAGCTCAGCCCAGGAAATATAGTGAAACCCCCCCACCACCACCACCTCTTTAAAAAAGAAAAAGAAATAGGAAATACACTCCTCTCATTCCAGACCTACATATGCAGCTGCCTATTTGACATCCCCACTTGAATGTTCACAGGCATCTCCAGCATAAAATGTCCAAAACTAAACTCTACCTTTCCTACAAATCTGCTTCTTTGGTTTTCCTCTTCTCAGCAAATGACACCTCCACCCACCCATTTGTTCCTGCCAAAAACCAGGGAATCATCTTTGATATCACCCCTCCCTTACCCTCTGTTAGAGACAGAATACTCGTTCCTAGGTACCACAAGGAAAAATTGGTATTCAGACAAAGTTTTCTCAGCAAGGCAATTTTACTTTGTAGAAAGGATACTGCTCATCAGCCGTCTTGCCACAAGAGTACAATGAACAAAGGAAAGGCAGGCATATTTATTCCTTGTGCATTGGGTCCTTACTGCTGTGTCCAATCTTTGTTGGTTGGAGCCAGACCTCACAATATAAACTGAACCCAATTGGCTAACGACTTAAAACTTTTCTAAATAGGTAAAGGTAATGGAGAACAAAAGGAAAAGAGGAAGTCCAAATAAAGAAGGCAGAGGAAGTTGCTTTTGAAAAGACTTAGAAAAGTAATAACATAAATATCTTGGTTAAAGTACAAGGACACAGAATGTATTATGTACCTAAATATCTTGGTTAAAGTACAAGGACATAGAGTGTACTTACTCCCTTATATCTAACAGCTG